CGAGCAGGAGGGTGCCTGTGCTGTGTTCTGCTCCGCTGGAATAGCTGTGCCCGCTGGCCCAGCACGGTCCCGCCCGGGAAAGGAGCTTCGTAAGGCAGCAGCGAGGAGCCAAGCGTGCCTGCAGCCCTGCCTTCCCCTGCGTGCCCTCGTCTCTGCCGGGCTGCCTATGCTGCTGCTCAGAGGTCATAACACAACACGCAGTCTGAGAAAGAGAGCAGAAACTTTTGCAAAATGAAGCAGCTGAGGTTTGGCGTGGGCAAAGTTTGTATTTGTTCGTTTGACTTCACTTCGACAGCCACGAACGCTCTTGCTCTCGCATCTCTGATGCAGGAGTTTGCCCCTCTCCCCGGGCCCTCGCAGTGGCTTACTTGCAGGTGAACTTTGCACCCTGTGCGAGGAGGTAGGTCAAGGGAGGAAGAAAGGAGGGAAAATAAAATAAAGTCCTTGTTTGTTGACAGAGCTATCATCAGAGCTGTTTTTATTACTCAGAGTGCAAGTGCTGGTATGTCTGGGCTCCTGCTCCACTGTTGTTTTTGGTACTTGCTGGTAACACAGAACTCACCGGCTGTGCTCCCAGCAGATCATCTCCTGCTTTGTCCCCTCCCGCCTTTAGCTAAATGTGACTAGGTAACATAGGGTGACATGTCAGTCAGAGCAGCCCTCCGCTTGCCCCGGCACTGCTGCTGTGACTCTCTATATACCATCTACCCAAGTCTTCAAGAAGACAAATATGCTAAACACTTAACACGCTGTTAAGCTGCTCATAACTCACTTTGCTGTGTGATCTGAATCCCTTGCCTGATTCTCAATGCAATGTACAACAAGTGTATAACATAATCGATCGATAAATATGAAATGTGTCAGCAAATAGAAAGCCTAGGACCTGTCGTCAGTGCAGCCTGGGGAGACTGTTTGGGCTCATGGTTTCATCAGTGAAGTGACAGCGAAGGAACAGTAGACCCACTTCAAAGGTGCTCTCGAAAGACAGAGACAAGACTCGTCCATTCAACGTGCAGCACAGGCTGAGAGTCTACTTGGAATGAGTCACTTGGATCATTTTTTTTACAGATACTTATTATTTTTATTATGGGTTGGGCAGGTATTAGACATTGGTGGTGTTCTGCAGCAGCAAGGCTGTGATGTGGGTAGAAAAATAACGTTTTTAATTCTGCAACATCAGTGCTGCTAGACTGCTGGTAAAGCACAAGCATCTTTGGTTCTGACTTTTTGCAGGAAAAAACTACTCTGTTTTAGTATTTTGCTGGGGCTCCCACATAGTGTCTGACGCTATGGGAGCTGAGCGCTTTCCAGGAGTGCAGTAAATCCTGTGACAAGCCTCTGCCATGTGCCATTCTTTCCCATCCCACTTTTCTTCCCCTTGAGGAAAGAAAGCTGTATGTGATGCATTTTATGGTTGCTTTTTTATTTTGTGATGTGTTTAGGACTCTCATTAGCAAGTGCAAGGTCAAAAGAATATATTGTTTTTGGAAAAGAAAAGGCTAAATCTTGACGTGCTTGATATCTGATCGTGTTTTGGGCTGGGTGTGTAGAAAGCTGGTCCCTGCAGAAGTTTTGCCTTCGCAGAGATATGCTAGAGAAGTGACGGCGATGCTGGTGAGCTTTCAGTGTTAGTGTTGGCTGCCCTCCACACCCCCCAGTCTTTCTCTCCTCTCCCCTCGCCTCCTGCCAACACGGATGTGTCTGTGCTGTGCCCCAAAGGGATGAGCAGAAGTGACTCAGTATGCACAAAGCCCAGTACCAAGTCACTGTAGGTTGTCTTGGACAGCTTTAGGGGAAAAGGAGGGTGGAAAATAAAGTGCAGAGGGCAGTGACTTCATTTCTGTGCAAGCAGCATTTGGCAGCTGGCAGCAGGCCAGGGGCAGGAGGAGGCATGGCTAGAACAAACCCTGCTGCAGCAAACCTGGCAGGGCTTTGGCAAAAGGAGCACACACTGGGCAGGTAGGGTTCTCGGATAACATGAACCAAACATTACAGGTGCTTACCTAAGACTTTCCCACCAACTTTTGGGTGGGGTGGGAGGAGTGCAAAAGGGTGTGAAGGCAGGGAGCTGAAATAACGAGGAACAGTACAACCCCTTTACACGTCCAGCTGCACACTGGGTGACCTGAGCTGCTGAGAGCATCCTGTGGCACCTTCCCTGTTTCCCCACTCATTCCCACCAGGCTTGGTTCGCCAGCACAGGTGGGACCACTGCAGCAGGCACACGCTGAAGCCAGGATTGCCAGCTGACACCTGCCAAAAAACAAACAAACAAAAAAAACCCACAAAACAAAGGAGAACTACAGACCTTTGATTTTTCACCCTGTTACTGAGGCTGATCATAAAAATACAGACAAATCACAATGCATGGCATCTATGGCCTAAGTGTAGTTTGAGTTCTTGTCAGCACTGGGATGGGGAGATAAAATTTGCCTTCTTTGCATCCTTGCATTGGTCCTAATCCCAGCATACGGAAGAGTCTGGTCCGAGTCAGACAGCCCACCCCAGAGCAGCGAAGCAGAAGTCTGTGCTGGCGAGCCCTGGCAAGATGTTGCACAAGGCCAGATTGCAGCTAAGGAGGCACCCATCCCCTGCTGCTTTCAGTGGGAGGCAAGGAACTAAACCCCTCTAAGAAACTGGCCTGGCATGCCTGAGTGCTGTAGGCAGCAATTTCTGTTCCTGGTACTTAAGATTTAAAGGAAACAGTTTCCCTAAAACCCTATCCCATTAAAAGCTCTTGCAGCTAGGACAGGAACCCGCCACCTTGCAAAACACTGGAAGTGGCCGTCCGCTGGATTGCTGCACTGCAAATAGACCATGCTACTCATAATTATTAACATGGTGAATATTTCCCCTATATGTGTAACCATCCCAATAAAAAGAACAAATTTCTGCTCTTCAGAGATCACCCTTTACACAAGGGCGATGGTGTGAGAGCAGCCACAGCGCTGTTAAGCGTGTGGTGTAGCTGTGAGTACGTGATTTCCTCTCCTTCCTTCAGCATTTTCCCTCAGCAGTGCCGCACGACCGTTGTTCAGCACCGGGCAGACGCCACGAAAGGACTCTGAGGTTCTGCCCAGATTTGCTGCTGCTTCATGATTTTGCTGCAACAGTTGCCAAGCATTTTGATGCGGTGAATGCAGTGTTGTAACACAGTTTTAGCCAGGTCTCACCGTAGCTCATTACAGCAAGGTTAGAGATGAATTATTTATAAAACCAATGCCATCGACTGCTTTTGCAGTGCTTTCGCTGGGAAGGTCTCAAACCACTTCACAAAGCAGCTCAGTAGTATACCCATACTTCTCAATCTGGAGCAGTTTATTAGACCCCCCCCATCGAATCAACTGACATCACTGACACACAAATGCCGCCAACACATTCAGCAAGCGCAACGTGCGATGCCACGGCACCATGATACAGGGAGCAGAGATCGCCACGCGTTGGCTGTGCAGTTCCTACAAGCTGCTTCCCGCTCTCATTTAAAACCCAAAGCTTGTGCCAAGAAACGGCAGGAGGATTTTATGCCGAGTTTCCCTCCTGCCAGGCTCTTAGGAAACGTTACTACTCTCCTGCCAGGCTGTTTTCGCAGGCAGGGTTGGTGCAGCCGGTTTCCACCACTGGGACTTGCTAACTGCCACACCAGTTTCTCCATGGGCAAAACCAGCTTGAAGCCGGCAGGGCAGTCACTTGCTTTCTCTCTTTTTCTCTGCAACAACCAAGTTGAAGGAACGTGTGGGGGAGGGAAAGGGACTGCATCCCAAGCCGAGGGGGCCATCTTCTCTGCTTCCAGCAAGAAGAGTAAGGCTGGGCTTTTCCCCAGCCTCCCTTTTATAACCTCTGACTTTCTGCAAGGGAAATGATTCTTTCTAGTCTTGACATTATTTTTTAAATGCACTAATAATGCTGCCTCAGGCTTTTGAGAGGAGAATGGCATCCAGCTTTCCAACCCAGAAAAACCTTTTAATAACTTCCCACGGAGGCTGCTGCTGTGCCCAAGGCGAAGGCTTGCAGAGCACAGCCAGGATGGGAGCAGACAGGAGCAGAGGAACCGGGTGGGGAGAGCAAGAGAAGAAAACTCACTGCAGTGAAACGGGAGCCGGGAGTTCAGGAGGCAGATCAGCAAGCGGCACGTTTTCGTCTGCGCTCCCACCCGTGGCTGTGCCGTCCTGCCGAGGGCAGGCTGCTGGACAGGAACGCGCAGCAAGCAGGAGACCGGGACAGCGCAGAAGGCATCATTTAATATGTTGTCTTAAATAACGTGACAATATCAGCATGTGAACAACTTACACCTGTCAAAGGTGGCACGGAATATTGTGCTGTGTTTGTCCTTTATCCGAGGCTTACGTTTGGAAAATAGAAACAAATACTGTCCCATCCGGAGCTTCAGTATCTCATCAAGGTTCAGACTTTTTTTTTTAAGAAACAGATTGACATTGAAACAGACGTGCAAAAGCAACATGATATATAAACAAAACAGGTTTTAAATAAGTTTCTAAGCATGTTCTCTGCTGAAAGCTATTTTTTAAAACTCAGCTTTATGTCTATAAATACATAGTACAAAAATGCAAGTTTACAAGCCATTTTCCCAATAGAGTTATGCCATCTGAAGTTTTAAGTAAGAACGTTCCTCCAACATAAGATGCATACATTTAAGAGCAATAATATTAAGTATTTACATTATAAAGTTATGAAGTGTTTGAGGATATAAATTAGTAACAACACACACAAAAATATATGTACTGTGAAATAAATAATTCAACAGCTTTACATATGAGGGTATCCATAATATTATACAAACAAAATGTACAAGATTGTAGGACTTGATTTGCAGTGGCTCATATCTGTCTCTCGAGCACCCGAGTAATCCCAGTGCAGTAAAAAGGCTACTTTGTGGCATTACTCCTGTGCTGAAAGTCAAGGGCACAAAACCACCTTGCTGAAACGCCTCCTGACTAGATCAGGCCCCACAGAAAACTTGGTGTGAATGAGTGTGTTTAGTTTTACTCTTGTGAGCTGAGATACTGCTGGCATTCGGGGTCTCCTTTCATTTGTGGAGATCCAGGAATTTTTCTTCCATCTTTTGGATAGACACACCAGCATCCAGCAGACTCTCCATCCAGTGAAGTTTCGCACTAGAATGTTATTAGCAAAACAAAACCCACAATAAGCAACCATAAGCAGAAGACTACCTGTCAGATACTGCAAGGAAAGGTGTTGGACAGAACTGGAAAGATGAGGAGCTACTGGAGAGAGTCCAGCAGAGGGCTACGAGGATGGTGAGGGGACTGGAGCATCTCTCCTACGAGGAGAGGCTGAGGGAGCTGGGCTTGTTCAGCCTGGAGAAGAGAAGGCTGTGAGGGGACCTAATAAATGCCTTATAAATATCTGAAGGGTGGGTGTCAGGAGGACGGGGCCAGACTCTTTTCAGTGGTGCCCAGCGACAGGACAAGGGGCAACGGGCACAAACTGAAGCACAGGAAGTTCCAGCTGAACATGAGGAAGAACTTCTTCCCTCTGAGGGTGACAGAGCCCTGGCACAGGCTGCCCAGGGAGGTTGTGGAGTCTCCTTCTCTGGAGATATTCAAGACCCTCCTGGACAAGGTCCTGTGCAGCCTGCTCTGGGTGACCCTGCTTCGGCAGGGAGTTGGACTGGGTGACCCACAGAGGTCCCTTCCAACCCCGACCCTTCTGTGATTCTGTGAAGGTCGGGACTTGCCATGCACAGACTTGTTTTGAATGTGACGGTCCCTGCTCTGACAGAGCCTCTGACCAACGCACTCAGAGAGCTGTGACCCAAGCTCAGCTATCACAACAGCAGACTTAAGACAGTTTGCCCACTCCTTGGTGAACAGCAGTACTAAACAGCAGTAGCTTCCAGCGTGAGAAACCGAAGGCAGGCAGAATATACAGCTGGTAGGGCAAGAGCAATGACTGGATGGTCTGGCTCTACATGCAACGAAGCAAATAGGGTGGGGTTTTTCTTGGGGAGGGGGTTAAACAGATTTCTGTTTGTGCCTGATTAGATCCCAGGTCACACTGTGAGTCACACCGTGGTGCCATGCCCAAAAACAAGGAGTCTCGGTGACACAGATCTATGCAGACCTGCTAAATTTGTGTGCACGACCTGTGGTTACCAGGGTGTGGCTTGAGGCTGGGAGCTTTAGTTCGGTTTGCAGATTACTCTCAGTGTAGATTGCAATGGCTTTTTCTGAGGCTATGATGGAAATGAGCATATAACATAAGCCATAGGCAGCACAAAAGATTATTTTTGTTCTACTTTCAGGAGGCTAATCTTGCTCCAGAGAGTTTTTTCACTGCCAGTGGAGTTTTTCACTGCCTGGGAGCTGAGAGCTTCCAGTCTCCATAGCGATTATTCTATATTCAATGGGCTTTGCAGGCGTTATGGTGGATATTGTGAATTAACGTCGACTGGGAATATGCGACCACATTAGGTACATGGAGCTGGATTTGGCCTGGGAGCAGACAGGGTTAAAAGATTTTGGAGGAGGCCTCGCGCGCACCTGTTCTGTGAATGGCAAAGACTCCTGCTTCCACTGCTGTCAGCCCGCAGCGTGCGGCTCCCTTCTAAGAGAAGAAGGACAAACCATCTGCTCTCACTACGAGGTATCCCTGTTCTCACAGCCTGCTTTCCCAGCAGCTGCAAGCTCGGGAAGCTAGGAGCCGAGGGCTGTGAAAGGGCTGGCGGTGTCGGGCTAGTGGCAGCGCTGCCGCGAGCTGACAGGGGAGGACGCACGTACCTGTCTGCTGTGGTAAAACCCATTCTGGTTGCAGTTGGGCAAGTAGAATTTGTAAATCTCCCCGCCGCTTCTCTGCTGAGCCTTCGCCAGTTTGTAGAGGGCTCGGTAGAGTTCCTTCTGACAAGGTCCCTGCAGGAATATTGTGCAAAGGTTGTCAATACCAGAATCACGAAGAAACCAGCTAAAGTAATCAGCATAAAGCTAGCAAAAAAGCTGAAAATACTTGTTCATGTATAATCTGCACCAGGCTGCTCTGCATGTAGTTTTTACTTGTTTCAGTAGGAGCACAGCCAGAAAACTCTGGTGTTGCATTCAGGCCTTTGTTTTTATTCTTTGAGGTATTTTCTGTCCTCAGAAACATGAGGATTTAAGTCTTTAAATTGCCACACAAGGAAATTTAACCTGTGCTAAGTAAACACATTAGTGCTCAGAGGGTACAGTCTCTCCTATTATGGGGAGGTGCTCAGCAGGAGGCTGGTGTACGTGAGGCTAGTCACGTTTTCTGGGTTGCCATGGCCCCGTACTCTGTTGATGTATGGAGAATAGGTGCAAGACGCATATAGATGGTGCAAGAACAAACATCTGAATGTTTGTTATCTTTCATGCGGGACAGGGCTGTCGCCGAAGCAGAGCAGAGAACACCCCTGTGGCTCTGAGACCCAACCCCAAACTGCCTGGAAATGGGGATGAGGAACTCTTTGAACTGGGGATGAGGAACTCTTTGCAATATTCACTGTTTTCACCATTTGCTCGCTCCCTTTTCCAAAGTCACAACTGCCACGTGTTAACAGCACCCAACGCGTTTAAATGAGTGAAAGGGGAGGAGCGATCGAACAAATATTTTCACTTCTGAGTGAAAATAATTCTACCCTCTGCTTTTGCAAGACCTCCCTGTGTCAGCCCCTCACGTTAGCGGGTCAGGAAAGCAGAAGCCTAAAAATCCGGACTGGAGCTCACGGCACTTCTGCTCACACTGACTCGGTGGTGAAGCCCTGTTCTGGATGTGGAACCAGGCTTCCTAGGGCGGGGTGGGGGTGAGTGGCTTTTTGTCTTTTTTTTTTTTTTTTTTTTTTTCTAGGCGTGACCATTACGAAACTGGGCTTCGCGGCACCCGGTTCCAGTTCCGCTGTGGGTGCACGGGCTGCGGGGACCAGTTTAACGATGGTTCTCTGGTGCCCTCGCGTGGACCACGGCCCCGCCTGCAAAGGCCCCGCACCCCATCGCCCACCGCGGTTCGGCAGTGCCGAAATTGAGGAATCCTGGAAATTCAGGCCCCGCCTTATAATCTGAAAGTAAATATGGAGAAAGATTCAGCCGCTGCATGGAGCCGGTACGGGACGTAACTGATGCACACCTGCTTTCACCACGCTTGCCAGGAGGAGTGGTGGATACAGCAGCAGGCTGTGCTGCCCTTCAGCGAGACCTGGACAGGCTGGAGAGTTGGGCAGAGAGGAACCTGATGAGGTTCAACAACGGCAAGGGCAGGGTCCTGCCCCTGGGGAGGAACAACCCCAGGCACCAGTACAGGCTGGGGGTGAACCTCTGGAGAGCCGCTCCGGGGTACTGGACTTCAAGTTTAGTCCTCTAAATCTGCTCCTTGAAGGCCCAGGTTTTCCAAGTGCCACAGATGAATTAAGCACTCAGCTCACATGCTTTTAAGGTGAGGTGGACGGAAGGTGGCCAGACGCTGTGTCCAGTTCTGGGCTCCCCAGTTCAAGAAAGATGAAGAGCTACTGGAGAGAGTCCAGCGGAAGGCTACGAGGATGATGAGGGGACTGGAACATCTCCCCTACGAGGAGAGGCTGAGGGAGCTGGGCTTGTTCAGCCTGAAGAAGAGAAGGCTGCGAGGGGACCTAATAAATGCTTATAAATATCTGAAGGGTGGGTGTCAGGAGGATGGGGCCAAGCTCTTTTCAGTGGTGCCCAGTGACAGGACAAGGGGCAATGGGCACAAACTGAGGCACAGGAAGTTCCAGCTGAACATGAGGAAGAACTTCTTCCCTCTGAGGTTGACGGAGCACTGGAACAGGCTGCCCAGGGAGGTTGTGGAGTCTCCTTCTCTGGATTCAAGACCTGCCTGGACAAGGTCCTGTGCAGCCTGCTGTAGGTGACCCTGCTTCAGCAGGGGGGTTGGACTGGACGACCCACAGAGGTCCCTTCCAACCCCTAACATGCTGTGATTCTGTGATCCGATGAAGACATGCCAACAGTCTGTTTGCTGGCTACTCAAAATACTGACATCCCAGCATTGCTGCTAGAATTTCACACACGTTTTCATTTTGCATTCTGAATCAACATCATCCACTGAAATGGTCTCTGAAAGATTCACAAAGAAAACCCACCTGCTCTTTCCATTTCTTGAGCTCGGATATCCTCTTTGCTTTCATGTTTTCATACGCAGTGATGGCGTTCCAGGGGATGGATTTGTCCTGGCCTATGGGAAACATCAGCTGGTAGTTCAGCAGCTGATCATGTGTCACCTCAGTGCTTTCCAAAGGCATGTCCTCAGGTTCAACAGAGTCTGGAAGGGAATGATATTGAGGTGAACATCAACAAGTGAACTTTGGCGTTTAGTTCTCAAAGTTAAAAAAGGTAAAGAAAAAGAAGAAGAATCAATAACGAGTGATATCTAAGACAGATGCATTACAGCAGCTCTTGAAAAAGTAATAAATTACATGTGCGGCACAGCAAATTAAACTTTTGTCATAAATTCATACAAGGTCGCATCAGCTGTTCTCTAGCAAGTTGGTTATTTTATGGTCTTTCAAAATCAGTCTAATCCCAAAGATGAAGCTGCAGCCAGCCTGTTAGAAATTAAAATAGTTTCTTGACCATAGTGGGTTGCAGACACTTTGCTAAATGAGGAAAGGCTGGGGTTAAGCTTGTAATGAGTTTAGATTTTGGTCAGCATGATGTGTCTCAGCTGTTATTCAGGAGAGGAAACGGTCCAGACTGACCCCGTGGCTTCCTGCACCTGGAAGCCTGTTCCATGCCTTGCCTCACGTACCCGACAGGGCAGCAACTCACAGGAGCCAGCAGCAGATCGTGCTGGCCCGCAGTGGAGCAAACAGCCAAGGGAACGGCAGAAACTGTCTGGGTCTGCCTGGTCGTGGGCCGCGTGCCAGTGCCTAACTTGGCCCGTGTGAACTCCCCCACTGGAAGCAACAGCAGCTCTTTGCAATCGCAGGGACTCATCACGGGATAAAAGTCTGACACACGTGTCAATAACTTGTTGCATCAAGGTGGTAAACAATGATCCAATGGACTAAAACCCACTTTGACAAGTTTAAGAAAAAACGGAGGCGGAAAATTGAGGATGGAAAGAGAGAAAGAAAGACTAAAGCCAAGGAAGGAATCAAATCAAATCAAATAGCAGACCTCTTTAACTGCAGGAGCCTTAAACCCTCAGCTTAGTCACGGTTCTCTCCCCTCCCTGCCCCCTCCAGCACAAGAGGACCTCCACTTGCTGCCGCCAGTGGCCACCGGCACTTGGAGTCAATAAGGGTTATTTCGGTAACGCTACCGAGCTACCTTCGCCGCCGCTGCACGGACACAGCAGGTGACAATAACAACAGTAAAGAAAACGGCAAAATGATGAAATAACACTGAAGAGGTTCCTGATCATCACAGAGCACGAGATGCGCCGTCCTGCTCGGAGGCAGTCCGGGTAGCACGGCACTACGTCAGCTACGCTTTAGCCTGGAAATGCAGCCGGGCACGAAGCCTCTTGGGGTCTTTCCATCCCCTGTCCCGACTTTCGGCGACGGACACGAAGAAAGCCCAGCAGGCACCCGTCCCGCTCCAGCCACCGCTCCCCAGAGCCCCACCGGGATCTGGGCGCCCGGCCCCGTCGCGGCGTGGACGCGG